TCCAAAGTATCTTAATTTTCGTAAACCGCAACGTGTCACTGAAATATCTGAGTTGGAAATCTTGTCGTTATGGTTACTGCACCCCTTGTAAAATATACGGGTCGACATATAAAGCAAAACGACTGGATTATATTTAAAGGATTAAACAATATATAATTTGTGTCATTAGTCAATATTTTAGAGCTTTATATATGCATGTATGTTTGTCTGCATGAGTTCACTGACTTTATGTTCTGAACTGATTTGAGTGACATAAAACAGCTCAGTTCCATAAAACATCTTATATATAAGTACTTGTTAACACAAAAGGTACGAAATAATACTAAAGACATCTCAGTTATTAACTACTTTATCTTTCTTTTATTTGCAAATTTCTTCAGACAATTAAAAACAAGGAACGTAGCAACTAATTTACATTCCTCTCGAAACCTCGGTAACGTCTTTAAAGAAAAGACTTACAAACATTTTTTACGTACCTTGGAAACAGGTAAACGGTCGTTTCACCCCGACTGTGATAATATTAGATGTACATTAAATACTAAGTATTACTATATCTTAAGGTTCTTGCTATTCTTTTTAACTTGACAAACAAAACATAAAGTCAAGTAACTGATACCTTATAAATTCTAATGAGTAAACAAATAAACTCAGTTAAGATTCAAACCTGTTTGAGATCACAGAAAAAAAAAAAGAGTACAAAACTCTTCAAATCATTGCTTGTTTTAAACTAATATGGACTAACTATATTCTTTTGCTGCTAAATTAGGGACGGCTAGCGCAGATAACCCTCGTGTAACTTTGAATGAACTCCAAAAACAGTATTAAAGACAATTTCTTCAATAAAATAAGTTTTAACTGAACTGGATTCAAGGCCGAGACAAGAAACATTTTAAGAGACTAACAGTCGCAGATCTTCTCAACGACGCTTGTGCTTTTAAAAGCATTCTCGAAGCGTTTGGTAAGAGAAACAACTTGTATGTAGAAACTAATTTCCTGTTAATTATTAGACAGTTAAGCTCGCTAATAAAAACAGATTCTTAAGGAAATAAGGAGAGCGATCTGTGTGAAATAATGAGACTAGACGAGATTAACAAAATTAACACAATTTTTGTCGTGATATAAAAAAGAAAAAGAAAAAAGAGACAGTCGCTTTTATTGGATTGTGATTAGCTTCATGGCTTTCTCTCTCTATCTTTCTTTATTTGGATAGACTTCTGAAGTACCAAATACACTGTTCTCCAAATAGGACTACATTTGTCGATCTCCAGGTAGAAACTAGAATGAAAAATGCACCTGAAATTAATGGGTAAACTCGCTTTCTTTGTCCAGTCGGCAGCATCACATCGTGACCTTTGTTCTCTCACAACATTGGCCAGCTATAACATACAGATAATGCCAAGTCAGCCAACAAAAGGTATTACAGCCACTAGTCCTTTTATTTATAACCCGAATGCTATATGTTACTGCATTATCCTTTCGGGTGGAATAGGTATTATTTATTACACAAAACAAAGAAACAAAACAATTAGAAAAATGTATTCTCAACGCCTTTCTGGACCACGTGTCTATGATAAAACTGCATTAAAACTAAATCACGTACACATATTTAAAATTTCTACACATCTAAAGCAAGTAAAAAACATTATATGTATAAGCATAATGCTGCGTGAACATAATTATACATTCTTACGAGTTTCAAAATAGGTTATTCAGCTTTTTGCGCTAAAAAAGCTCATTATGTACATTCCATGTGATCGTTATGATAAATATACATAATTTATTTTAAACTCAGTATAAAATTAACATTCAAGTCTACATACGTGTAAGTCATAAAGCCTTTCATTAATTGTCCCCCCTGTGGGACAGCAGTAAGTTTAAGGACTTAAAACGCTAAAATACGCGGTTCGATTCCCCGCGGTGGACACAGCAGATAGCCTAATATGACTTTGCTCTTGCTAAATTAGGGACGGCTAGCGCAGATAGCTCTCGTGTAGCTTTGCGCGAAATAAAAAACAACAAACCATTTAGAGGTTACGATTAATTGGTAAAATTAATGTTTTATTCTTCACCACCCGCCGCCAACTCTTAGGATACTTTTTTTACCAACGAATAGTGGGACTGACCATTACATTATAACGCCCCCTCGGCTGAAAGGGCGAGCATGTTTGGTGGGACGGGGATTCGAACCCACGATCCTCAAATTGTAAGTCAAGCACCCTAACCACATGGCAACCTCTAAATGAAATATTATCGTAAATTTTTGAGTTCAACTTAAAGTATGTGCACACATTTAAAAGAATGCAACTTTCTAACACGGCTTATCCAGATAATCTTGATAACCATACAAGCGAAAGTACGCTTCCCCAATGACAGGAAAAGTTTAAGTTAATCTATCAATTTAAATTATTTCATTGACTTTAAAAAGGTTAATTGTGTCGCACTCTAGGTTTCATTCAGAGCCAAAGCTCTGAGATACTTATACCGATACCGCGAAAAGTAATTGTTGAGTATTTCAGTCATGCTAAGAGCCGCTCAACAATAACATACGGTAAATCTACATTTTTATTCTTTAAGTTACGTCACATTTTGAAATGTGAATGATAGTGTGATTAATTCATAACAATTTACTGTAGAATATCCTGCTTACGAAATAAAATTTGGCATCAACATTATTCATGCCTCTTCTCTCGCCATTTCGAAAGTGAATGTTGAGCTTTGCCTGCGCAGATTTTCAAACGCAACGCTGGAAGCAGCCGCCGTAAACAGGAGACAGACGAACGCTCCGACAGACACTACGTTTTGCAATGTATATAAATAAGATTTCAAACTTCGCCACAAAAAGCTCGTCAGCACTACGTTAATCGGTATTAACAACTTATAAACATCCGTATTCTAATCACTTGTAAGCAAGAGGCTTCATAGACTATTTTATTATCGTATTTCAAAACATGCATAAAGAGTGTATAAATAGAAAAAACAAACAAAAAGCCGTAGACTCGCGTGTAGTGAAACAGAAAGATCAAAGAACGAAATACCACTCTTCTCTACTCTTTTACCAACGAATAGTAGGATTGACCATCACATTATAACGCTCCCACGGCTGAAAGGGCGAGTATATTTGGTGGAACGGGGATTCGAACCCGCGACCCTCAGGTTGTGAGTCGAGCGCCCTAACCATACTTTTACCTAGAATTACATTGGGTTTGTTTGTAGTTAAGCACAAAACTACACAATGGGCTATTTGTGCCGTACCAATAATGGGTATCGAAACCTGGGGGAGGGAGCATATTTTCATGTATAAAACGTGCATAAGGTGTTATAGAGAATACTAGCCGTTACTTACACGTGTTTAGGGGGTTACTGTTGGGCATATGACTACTGTATATTCAGATATTTGCACAAATCTACACATCTGCTATCTGCACTAGCCGTCCAAACTTTGAATTGACAGACTAGAAGAAAGGCAGGTAGCCAACAGCACTCGCTAACAACTCTTGGGCTACTCTAATCGAATACTGCAATTTGAACGTCAATTGTGATGAACCCACAGCACCAAAGGGACGCGAACCAGGGACATTCAGAACCACATTTCACTAGACTAACCACTTAGCAACACCCGGCCCATTTGCAAAAATATGTCATTATTTGTTTTACATGAAACAATCCGCACGGCCGTGTTTAAGACATTTTAACAACGTACTATTCTTAAAAACAAAACAAACAAAGAAAACAGCCTAAACTGGTTTAAATATATTTGCAAGCAATGTCTGTAAAATCGATCTTCAATTATGATATAATGTTTAACATCGACTTCAGTTTGCTTATGTGTTTGTTGGTTAATCCAATTGGCTTGCAGATATTAAAACTAGAAATAATAAATTTTATAGCTTATTGTGTATACTAAACATATATGTATTGTCGAGTAAAATGACATCGGGATTACCTATGGGAATATAAACAGTTCGTGATCAACTTAAAAATAAAATTCAATTTGCGATAATCACGATAAAACATATTTTCGATAAAACGTAAAACTTCAACTGTGAACAACTTTTAGTAGGTTAAACTACAAATCAAACAAGAGGAAATCCTCAATAGCCGCGGCACTTAAAATTCTTTCATGCAGGATTAGAGTAAATTAATCTGTTGTTGCGTTTCTGCTTGTTTGTTAATTTCCGGTATAAATGCTTTCCGAGGAACTTCAGCGATACGAGTCCTTTCTTGATTAAACCAGATACAAATTTTAGTAATACACAGGATTTCCACAGTCACTTTAAACTTAACAACCTTTGTAACACACACTATAAATCACAGCAATTCACACACACTTTACTTACGGTGCCTACTGTTCGCTTGACTTAATTATCAATCTCCTCCGATCTATCTATCACTGCAATCTATCTGCCTATATCGCTGGCTTTCTTTGCGAGGCTTATATACTAAAAAAGAGGGCGTCTAGCAAACACTCGGACATTCGCGGGGTTCCCCGATAATTCTAGAAACTCCAGCGCGTGTACTCGATTCAATTTGATTACTCATCAGGATCTCTATCAGCCTACCCTCCGATTGAAATTCTTTTAGGCAGGATTAGAGTAAATTAATCTATATGACCTCGGGCGTGATCAAATACATCAATCGAAATGGTTTGACCTCCTGAGTCCAAAACTGTAATCATATCTCAAATCGGCTAAGAGATGACGGAGCTATGAGCTAAAAGTTTGTACTTGAAAAAAACTCAGAGCCATTGAGCGCTATGCCGCGGCTAAAAAATGGCATATATACTTGAGATTCGTATAAATAAAGAAGAATCACGACCCTTTTTTGAGTAATCTCAGCGTTTTACACTTAAAATGCAGAATCAACCAAGTGGAATCTTTCTATATTTATCTGATCTTGGGAATATTATGACAATTTCTGATTTCTAATTTAAGTAAATCTCAAGAAATCTCGGTACAATACATAGACTTGAGAGTTACTTTAAAAGTTAGTGGTTGGTATACCGATCTACAGATTTCACGGTCCCAGGTTCGAGCCGAACCATAAACCGCCGAATACGCTCCACACTTTCAGCTGTGAGATTATTATAGTTGTGACAGTCAATCGTGGTGTAGGGAGCATGTGCTGTTGACGAGTTATCCCCCTTTTTGTCAACCATTTCTAAATTCAGGGATAGCTATACCTGAAACTTGGGATTTCCAACTATCTGTACTTTTTATTTGTACAATGGCTTGAGAACAGAAAGATTTGGGGAAGTTATAAATAGTTGTCTAGTTAAAACTATTTGCTTGTAATATTTTTATAGAATATATTTTAAATAGTTTAATATTTTGTTCACTAGAATGAGCTATTTTACACGATGCGATAATTATGTGATATATAGAAGTTTCATGTAAATTTAGTACTCGATGACATCTCGGATGTTTGGGAAATATGGTATTGTATAAAAACACCAGATTGAATGAGTCGTAATGAATTGATCATTCAGCCACACCACAAATTCTACCCTCTTCTTTTAAACCAGTATTTTTTTCAGAATTTTCACACAACACATGATCCATCAAAACGTTAAGTTCGTTTTGATTTAGCTGCTTTTATACCTTTGTTATTCTTTAAAGATAACATTTGTTCTGCCCATGAGAGATATTGATGTAACGTTGCATACTTGACAGGATTAGATAGGGCAACATTGTCCGTCAATGGTAGGATAGGTGATATCTCGAGGCTTACAGCCTTCTCTATGTTGAATGAGAATGACCAGACACTTGAGTAACACTAGTAGATATCTTGGCAGAAGAAAATCTGTTAATCAATTCAAGAGTCCAGTAAAGGCGAACGTCCAGTGTAAAATATATGTATGCACACTGTGTGTGTGTTTTGTGTCTTTAAATGAGTAGTTGTTCTTTTCATTTTATGTCACACATTATGTCCAGTCTCTTGCTGTAATCTTCTCTCTTTCTGCTCAGCTGGCCCACTTTATACCTATCGTCTGTTCGCCACTTCACTATCAGTTCCCACGCGCCACTCTACACTCTCGACACAAATGCAACATCATAAACTAAATAAAAACGAAGTAATATTACAATGAAACACAATATTTTAACATAAAACACAACAAATCAATGACAGCCTTTTATATCGTGACAATGTTACACATCCCGTCTTTTTATGTAACACATCATATCCATTCTCTTTATGTTACACATCACGTTTAGTCTCTTTATGTTACACGTATGTCCAGTCTCTTATATATTTACTTAAATTGCAGTCAGTTAAGAAATTCAGCATTACTTCGTAATTTATCCTGTCCCTCCTCCAGTTACAAAGTGGGTCTGCCTAATACTCTATACGGAAATCAGTTTAACCTGGTAATACATTCACCTTTATATTGATAGTGTTCATTTAAACTTGAAAAATAGCGACATTTTATTTGTCTTCAATTTTATTGGGTCAAGATGGTAAAAGTCTATACGGAAGAATATTACAGATCAGTTTGTGTAATAACAATGAGCTACTTCGAGCTACGACAAGCATGGACACTGTTTCTATTATTTAGAATATTTTTGCTGCCATCATGTCCAACCCCTGTAAGGAACTTAGCTTCCTGGACAGTGACCTGTGAAATACAAAACATAGACCTGAAGTGCTATTTCATTCACATCAGACTAGTTAAGAAGAATGTGGCAAAAAAAGCAAAAAATATATAATGCCTGTTATGTAACGTGATTCATATTAGAAATATTAATAGTTGTTTTATTTTCACTGCTTCAGTAACATTTGACATTTTTCATTGAAGCTTCCAAAGATCTTTAATTTTACACTATGCCTTCACTGGTACTGATATTAAAAACAAAACAAAAAACTTTCATTTTGTAGTAATAAGTATGTTTTCAGGTTTATTAATTTTGGTGGTGAGTTATGGAAAACTTTGTTTGTTTGTTTGCTATCAAGCACAAAGCTACACAATGAGTTATCTGTGCTTTGCTCATCGCGGTTATCTAAACTCGATTTTAGCGTTATAAGCCAAAAGACGTATAACGCTAAGCCACTGAGGTGCATTACAAAAATAAAAAAATAAATATCAACAAAACATTTGTAACTTATAATTATATTCCATAACAATCAATTAAAAAGTAAGTAAATGAAAAGTGATTAGTTTTATATTAATCATACACAAATTAAAAGATGAGACTATTTCTCTGTTACTTAAGATGCTGTTATATGGCAAAATTATGTGGCAAACAATTCAGTTCATATTTTTACACTGCACATGATCATACACATACACACACATATATATATTAGTATTTCTATCTATAAAGTTATTTCCCTGTGTATGGTGAATGAAAACCACGCTAAATTTTTAATTTGTCCTCAAATTTTGTTTGTTTCGTTTGTAATTACGCACAAAGCTACACAATGGGCTATCTGTGCTCTGGAAGAAACAGCTTTTGAAGAATTGTGACTGGGAGCAACTTAGCAAATGTGAAAAATGTTTTTGTTTAGAAAAATCTATTAATTCTAGTTTTGATTTTTATATGGCTTCAGTTTTGCATTTTCATTTTCAAATGAGTGAAAAAATAACATATCAGTCACATCAACATGATTTTTCATAAATTATTAACTTTAATTATGCTAGAGACGGTTTGAATGGGTAATGAAGAAAAACTTTAATATAAGTTTAACATAACAG